TGTGGATCCTCTGATGACTTTTGAGAGTACCTTCTTGTCTAAAACTTTGATCACAAACGTCACAGCTGAAGGGCTTTTCTCCAGTGTGGATTCTGCTGTGGTTCTTGAGATGTTCTTTTGTATTAAAACCTGTTCCACACTGATCACACTCGTATGGTTTTTCTCCAGTGTGAGTTCTGTAGTGGGTCTTTAGTGCAGAAGCAGAGCTGAAGGTCTTTCCACACTGATCACAGGTGACCCCCATTCTGTAGATGGACTTTGTAGATCTGCAAAAAACAAGACACACAAGAAATGTCAGATAATTATAATATAGATTTACATGGAGGTAGAAGTGAGAAAAGACATGGTTCCCTTTCAGTCAAGACACGCATACAATGTTGAACTTTGTGTTTCTTCCTTTTCAGAATATCATGCTTTAGCATGATAGGGCAAACAAAACACTACCACAGAAACTAAAATGATCCCCAAAAAAGAGGATTACGGACCATGGGCCGCAACAAAGTGTTTACGTTTTATACAATCAGCTCTGCAGTTTATTATAAAGTTATTATGGGGATATTCGACAAATTTAAAATGCAATGCGCGTGAAAATAATTGGTTGATATCATTAAAGAACCAGCATAACACTAGGAAAAAGACAGGAGAGGACCAGCATATGGACGAAATTAAAAAGTCTCAACTTCATGTCGGAGGAGCTTAGCAAAGTAGCTAAACAGCAAACCATTTTGGATCTATTGGGAGAGGTGAAATGCCTCAGATCCATAATCGAAAAGAAAGACAACAAAATCCAAATGCTGGAGAAAAGACTGGATGATTTGGAACAATACACACGCAGGGATGACCTGATAATTTCTGGATTGGAGACAAGGCACCAAACTTATGCTCGGGCAGTATCAAACGCTGACAAAGGTAATGACGCACCGCTCCAAGAACTCCAAACTTTGGAGCAGCAGGTTGTTTTAAAAAAAAAAAGCACAACATGTGTATTGAATCTAACCACATCGCTGCCTGCCACACGCCCCCAAATGAGAATGGTGGAAAGCCTAACGTCATCGTGAGATTTGAAAATCGCATACACAAAGTGGACTTGCTCAGAGATGCAAAGAAGCTCGCTGGCACTCAGGTTTAGATACAGTAAATGGGCATCTCACTAAAAGGAACGGCGACATTGCAAGACAGGCTCGCATCCTTAGTAAGCAGAGCAAAATATTAGCAACCTGGAAAAGAAATAGCAAAGTCATGATTCGTCTGGATGGGGAATTGGCAAAAGTAATATGGATCAGAGACAGGGCGCACAATCTGAAAAGCTTTAAATGACCTTCAACGGCGAAGAAACAAAGTAAAATGTAAAACATCCGTCAACGCATTGTATTCAATAAAAATCACCAACATGGCTGAACAGATTATGGACAATTTTGGACTTTTACGTACCGGAAACCATAACGAGCTTGGATTACTCCAAAGAAGAAACAATGAATGAGAACTCATCTGACAGCAGACTGTATGCCTGTACAGCCTATGGACATCGATCCGAGAATAATTTTGACACCAAAAATAGTACAGGGAATGTCTACAACAGTGGATAATATTATGGAATGTATTACCGTAGAAAAGATTGTCAAAAGATCACAAAAAGTATCTATAAGTTGTATTTACATAACTCCAGGTTTTCATGTACGGATATATTCTCCAGTTCAATCATGGAATTACTTGTTAAAAAGGTAAAAGTAACGCCCTTAGGTTTGTATGTGGGGATTGCAACATTGATTCAATGAAAGTAGACATCTTAAAAAGCAGTAGACTTTGGGGACTCCATGTACAGCCTATGGCTGTTTCCTACCATTCTAAAACCTTCAAGAATAACAACTGGGAGTAAATATTGATAATATTTGTACGAATATAACTAGTGATACAATATTTAGTGGGCTTCTGATATAAAAACATTGCAGGCCATTCACTTGTTTTTATAATACTGCAAAAACTTTGTTACTAATGCAAGTCAGCAGCCAGAGAATCGTCTCGATCATTTCAAATTTGTGAGGTGTAAATCACTTCACCATAAATTCTCTCAAAGAACTAAATACTAAAACGTGGGATGAGGTGTTTACAAAAAATGACCCCAACGACGCATATGAAACATTTCTGACCCGTTCTGGACAACTGTCCAGCTGTTGTGCAAAGGAGGTCTACATTTTCCAAAAAGCCCTGGATAACAAAGGGACTATAGTGTGCAGTAAAAAAGAAAAATCTCTTGTATAAACTGTTCATTAAAAATACTACCCCAGAATCGTAAAATAGGTATAAAATTTAAAACAAATGTAGGATGAGAAGTTAACAGCTCGCCGCTCAAACCTCCACAGATGCTGAGACACTTTAATTAAATTAAAACACACAGGGTCCTAACAGTGGCCTCTGGAGCCTGTGGCCGACGCCAACCCCTGCGGAGAAACACCAAAGACATCTGTGTATTCCCCCGGTGCTCCAAGGACAGTGACCATTATCTCCCTCACCGAGACAGATGAGGGTCAAAAGACATTTGTGTGTCCCTCCTGAGCATCAAAGACATTCCACGCCAATCTCCCCATGGGGGAGGAAAAGCTTTCTTCAACAGACGAGGGTCCATGACGTCAAGAAAGGACCGTAATCTCACTGCCCCCTAGCAGCCATAGCGGACTGATATATTCTGCTCCATTTATGCTTCCAAATGTAAACCTGCATTTCTGTGTTGTCATTAATCTTTATTGAATTGTGAGTCACAATGTCTTTTGAAATGTTTGTGCTTTAAACAAATATGTATAATACATCTCACTAAACTGCGTGCGCAAGTCTCTGTGTTGTGAAAGAGCCGGAAACAGGAAGTGACTACGAAGGACCCGCCCCCGTGACGGAAACAAAACTCGCCGGGAAGCGCCGTGTTTTTCTTCTCTTACAGAGGCCGCCTTGGTCCTCTGTCCTTACGTCTCCGTGCCCGCGAGCTGGCCTCGCGCGAACGACCTCGGCCAGGGTTGTTTCCACCTCTAAACTCTGCTCAAGCCTAACTTGGAGTAACTGCCTTCTTGTATCATGCTTGTTGACGTGTTCATCTGTGTTTGCTTTGGTATAGTGCATTGTCCTGACTCGTGGCTCACACAACAATCTATAAATGCTTTGAAGGTTTCGTTCTGTAAATAAACAGCTAGAATTACTATCAGCCTCCTTTGTTATTAGTTAAGCAATTTGACCTCTGACGAATAGAACGCACACTTTTTGATTATGAGACTGATTTGATTTTGTGCACTCTTTAGTTAGGTCTTAAGACTTTCTTTCTCTTTTCAGTTAGAACCATCTCTGTATTAGTCTAATTAGACAAATCTTAGAGTAAGCACACATTAAGGTAAATGTAAGGCAATTTTCAATCTAAAGTAGTGTTAGCATTAGATAGCAATATGGCCTACGTGCAGGACTCTACAAGGACTGTACAAGGACTCTACAAGGACTCTGATTATTTTGACTATGATGTGACCGTCTCTGTGTGACACGTACGTCTTTCGATGTGTGACGTGACAATGACTATATAAACAGTGTACTGACTCCATTCTGTCTGGGAGAAAGAAACAAAGGAAACCACGGGAACTTGAGAGAAACGTAAATAAACTTCCAGAGTTTGCCGCACCACGATCCGTCTCTGTCTGCTTCATCCCTGACAGATTTGGTGGAGGATGCGCGGCTCAGTGTGCGCCATTCTCTGGATTGTTTTGAGGGAGTTTGCTTTGTTTCTTTTCCTCGGCGTGAGAGACCGGCATGCTGTGTCTGGGAGCGGAGATTCCAGCAAGCTGGAAGAGCTGATCCTGGATGCTTCTTGTCGCTTCTTTCACTTTTGTTTTTTAAATTGAATATTCCGACGCGGAAAAGAGGTTGGTAGACCTCTCGGACAGTCCTTGGTACCTGTTTGACAAGAATAAGGTAAGCAGACACCTTTTTATATGTAAAGTCTGTATAATTGGATACTAGCTAAATTTTGGTCTGTTTTTGGGGTCTGTCAAACTCTCTAAATTGTATTTGAGAAGAAGTCTCGGGGTTAGAGTCCCTTTGAGAAGAAGTCTCGGGGTTAGAGTCCCTTTGAGAAGAAGCTTCAGGGTTAGAGTCCCTTTGAGAAAACGTTTTCAGGGTTAGAGTCTGTTACGGACCAGGTCCTTGTTTTTGTTTCTCCTTGCCTCCGCCTCCTCAGACCTCCCTCCCACTGACGTCTCACTATGCACCTGTGGGCTAATCACCTGGGAGGCATAAAAAGAGCCTGGCTCCAGACCAGTCTCTCTCTTCCACTTGGGCCTGGATCCTGCGGCTGCACACCCGTGTGACCTTTTTGTGCATTTATTTATATGTAAATAAACCTTGTTACTTTTTAGACCCCGTTTCCTGTCTATGTTCCACCCCCCGGTTCTTTTTGTGTTACTGAGTCACACTCTCTAGACTTCAACACCTAGTGGCTCGTAATACGTGGGGGCTCGTCCGGGATCCAGTGGAACTGCGGTGGGTGCACCAGGAGTCGTGCGCTCTGGGTGAGTCGCGTGCGTGTGGGTGCGTGTGACATTCAGTGGCAGTCAACTCCAAATTGACCCAGCTAGACTAGGGGGGTGTCCAGCTTGGTTGATTTTTTCGCCATTCCTTCGGGCATCCGTTTTTTGTTTTAGTTTATTATTTTCGGGACGAATCCTGGGCGGAGTGGATTCTCTGACGGGGGCTGCACGCCTCGAGCCCGGCAAGTCCCAGAAGATATTTAGGTTAAGTTTTTCCTGAGTAGGAGTCTGGGTCAATACCTGTGTTTGCACTGATTTGGTTTTGTTAAGGCACCCTTCATAACCTCTTTTCACCCGTGTGCGAGTGTGAGTGTGTGTGTGCGTAAGCTTTGAGCGCAGCTGTGTGCGGGCGCGTGCTTGGCACCTCCCAGGAGGCGGGTCGAGTGGAAGGTGCCATCAGGTGTTCCAGTTGTGAGTGGGATCAACTGATCAGCCCGGTGAGTGATGGCTACGTTTGATTTGGAAGCATTTGTGGCTGAGCCAACGCACGTGGCGTTGGAGTTGTGTAGAAAAGTAGATTTGCTGGAGATAGCGCGACACTATGCGATCCCTGTGTCCCCTGCGTTACGCGTGGGTGAGTTGAGGGAGGCTATACTGGCAGAGTTGGTGGCCAACGGGGTTGTGGTATTGCCTGTGTCGAGTGATCCAGTGGCAGGAGCGGCAGTGGGAGATGCAGTGGTGTCCCCCGTACGTCCTGGGGTAGAGCGCGTGGAGCAGCCGCAGCTGTGCTCGCCCGCGGCGCTGTTTGAGGAGGCTGAGGAGAAGTCTCCTGGTTTAGGGTTGCGCTCCCCTCGCGATGCACGCGTGGATATGCGCATTGCTCGTCTGAAGCACGAGAGGGAAAAAGAGAAGCGAGAGTTTCACTTGAAACGTGAAATTGAGTTGAGGCGTATAGAGGTAGAGGCTGCTACTGCTCGGGAAGTAGAGTTTCGAAAGCTGGAGGCTGACACCGCGTTAAAGATGCGGCAATTAGAATTGCATGCAGCGGGTCGCGGTCCAGCTCCCTTGTCACCTGTCAGTGCGCACGAGTCATTTGATGTGACTAAAAATATACAGCTCGTCCCAGCCTTCCGTGAGACGGAGGTTGAGTCTTATTTTGGAGTGTTTGAGCGCATTGCAGGGGCATTGCACTGGCCTAGGGACGTGTGGGCGATCCTTTTGCAGTGCAAGTTGAGTGGAAAAGCCTCAGAAGCGTGTGCATCTTTGTCTGTCTCTGACAGTCTGAATTATGACTGTTTAAAGGGGGCTATTTTGCGTGCCTATGAGCTGGTGCCCGAAGCTTATAGACAGCGATTTAGGGGTCTCCGCAAGTCATTCAGCCAGAGTTATGTGGATTTTGCGCATGAAAAGGGCCTGTTATTTGACAGATGGTACTTTTGAGTCTCTGCGTGAGCTGTTTCTCATAGAGGAGTTTAAGAACTGCCTCTCGGAGCGCGTTGTTGTCTATTTAAATGAACAAAAAGTGAGCTCTCTTCAACAAGCAGCTATTTTGGCAGATGAGTTTTCGCTCACTCACAAGGCTGTCTTTAAGTGTGAGCCCTATCCAAAGTCTGAGGAGAGGCCCAACGTTAGTCCTGCAGCTAGTTCTAGGCCAGAGAAGGCTAAGCAGTGTTACTTCTGTCACAAACCCGGCCATCTGGTGGCGGATTGTGACTCTTGGAAGCGCAAACAGCCTGCGCCCAAACCAAAAGGCGTCGCGCTGACTAGGACTGTCCCTGGTGGTCAGGATGTGCAGCCTGCCGGTCCAATTGTCCCAGAGTGTGATGACTGTTTTAAGCCATTCATTTTTGAAGCTTTTGTGTCAGTTCCAGGAGTTCCAGGAGCGGCTAAGCGCGCTGTTAAAGTCTTACGTGACACTGGTGGCTCACAGTCTTTCATTCTCTCTGGTGTCCTGCCTCTGGGTTTGCAGACTGACTGTCATGTGAGCACTATAGTGAAAGGCATCGGCCTTAGCTATGTGCCAGCACCGCTGCACAATGTCAATGTTGAGTCGAATCTTGTTAGTGGAGTATTCCCTGTGGCCGTGCGGGACCAGTTCCCCATCGATGGGGTGGAGTTCATCATGGGGAATGACCTTGCAGGTGGCAAAGTGTACCCCTCCCCTGAGGTTGTTACTCGCCCTATCCTGAGCTCTGATGTGGATGAACTGGCTGAGAAACACCCTGACGTGTTTTCTGTGAGCGTTCTGACCCGCGCTCAGTCTAAAATGGCGAGAGAGCAAAGTGAGGTTGATTTGGGTGATTCTGTGCTTGCTCCTGTTTTCTCTGGTCTTAGTGCGCCCTCGTGTGGACGAACTGGGGGGGACTCAAAGGCCCAGCCTGACAGTGAGGAGCCAGATTGCAGCCCCTCTTTGTCTCCCCTGCTTACAAGTGACGCGCTGATCGAAGCTCAAAAATCTGATGTGACCTTGACTATATGTTTTTCTGTTATAGACAGTCCAGCAGCCCGAAGTCAATTTTTCCTTGACAAGGGGGTATTGATGCGGAAGTGGGTCCCCCAGGGAGGTAACCACTCTGACACTGACTGGTGTACAGTTTTCCAGATAGTGGTTCCCAAGTGTTACAGACAACATGTGCTATCTCTGGCGCATGAGCATGTGTGGTCCGGCCACCTCGGTGTTACAAAAACCTATAACCGTGTTCTGCAACATTTCTTTTGGCTAGGGCTGAAGGCTGATGTCGCTAGGTTCTGTAGGACCTGCACTACATGCCAAGCGGTGGGGAAACCAAACCAGGTGGTGCCGCCGGCTCCGCTGCGTCCCGTGCCTGCTGTTGGGGAACCGTTTGAGCACGTGATTATGAACTGTGTTGGCCCTCTACCTAAGACAAAGGCTGGTAACCAGTTCCTATTGACTATAATGTGTGTTGCCACTCGTTTCCCAGAGGCCATCCCACTACGCAGAATTACTGCCCTTACTGTTGTCAAGGCGATGACAAAGTTCTTCAGCACTTTTGGCCTTCCTCGGATCCTTCAGACAGACCAAGGAACCAACTTCCTGTCCAAGGCGTTCAAGGAGGCATTGCAGTCATTCGGTGTGTCCCACTCTGTGTCCAGGGCATACCACCCGGAGTCTCAGGGAGCATTGGAAAGATGGCACCAAGATGGCACCAAACGATGGACCAAAAGTCCATGCTGAGCAAGTTTTGTTTTGAGACTGGCAAGGACTGGGATGAGGGCGTTCCGTTCATGTTATTTGCAATCAGAGATGCCACCCAAGAGTCCCTAGGTTTCAGTCCGGCCGAACTTGTATTTGGTCACCGCATACGTGGACCACTCAAGGTACTGAAGGAGCAGTTCTTGTCAATGTCGAAGCTTAAAGGTGATGTCATAGATTTTGTAACAAAATGTAAACGACGGTTGGGTCATGCCACTACTTTAGCTAGAGCGGCGCTCTCCTCCTCACAGGCTGGCATGAAGAGTCGTTTTGATGTGAAGGCGGTGGCCAGGACTTTTGAGCCAGGCGATGAAGTTTTAGGGTTACTGCCTGCTGTGGGTTCAGCCCTTTCTGCTCGTTTTTCTGGTCCATATGTGGTTGAGAGAAAGGTGTCTGACACAAATTACCTTATTCTCACTCCTGGGAGGAGGAGGAAAACTCGTCTGTGTCATATCAATATGCTGAAGCCTTTCCATGCAAGGGAAAGCGTGAAGCCGGCCCAGTCTGTTTTAACTGTGCCTTGTGTGTCACCAGTGTCTGCAGACCCATTGGAGGAAGACTTGGAGGAGCCATGTGTTGCCCGGCAGTGTGGTCGGCTGTCAAACTCTGAGTTTTTGTCCAGTTTAGGCACCAACCTGGCATATCTCAGTGAGCAGCAGTTCAGTGACATTTTTGATCTGTTGCAGGCCTATCCCTCACTCTTTGGTGACACTCCATCTCGTACTTCAGTCCTTGAGCATGACATTGATGTGGGTTCCGCTTCACCAATCAAGCAGCATGCCTACCGCTGCCCGATGACCAAACGAGAGGCCATGAAGAGGGAGGTAGCTTATTTGATAAATAATGGTCTTGCAGTACCTAGCCATAGCCCCTGGAGTTCACCTTGTCTCCTGGCTCCTAAATCTGATGGCTCGCCCCGTTTTTGCACAGATTTCAGGAAGGTAAATGGGGTTACTGTGGCGGACTCTTTTCCTCTCCCTCGTATGGAGGATTGTATAGACAACATTGGTCCTGCGGTGCACATTACAAAGTTGGACTTACTAAAAGGCTACTGGCAGGTCCCTTTAACATCCCGAGCATCAGATATATCTGCCTTCGTTACTCCTGACCATTTCATGCAGTACACTGTGATGGCTTTTGGCATGAGGAACGCACCTGCCACCTTCCAGCGCCTCATGCACATCGTGCTTAGTAATGTTCCTAACTGCAATGTGTACCTTGACGATATTGTGATATACACAGACACTTGGTCCGAGCATGTCGCGGTACTGAAAGAAGTTTTTGAACGTTTGTCCAAAGCAAACCTCACCCTCAACTTGGCAAAATGTGACTTTGGTAAGGCCTCTGTGACATATCTGGGCAAGATTGTAGGCCATGGTTCAGTGCGTCCCATCGATGCTAAAGTTGAGGCGGTCCTCTCCTACCCCCCTCCGAAAACCCGGAGGGAACTGCGGCGGTTCTTGGGCCTGGCGGGCTATTACCGCTGTTTTTGCAAAAACTTTTCTGTCCTTGCTGCTCCACTCACTGCCCTCTGCAGCCCTTCTGTCCCTTTCACCTGGACAGAAGAATGTGAGGCAGCTTTCCAAGCAGCGAAGTCACTTTTGTGCAGTGCCCCGGTACTTTCTGCACCAGACTGCTCAAAGCCCTTCATCCTGGAGGTGGATGCGAGTGCCAATGGAGCAGGTGCAGTTTTGCTCCAGGAGGATGAGGCTAGTGTTCCTCATCCTGTGTCCTACTTCTCTAAAGTTTAAAAAGCACCAGCTGAACTATTCCACTGTAGAGAAGGAGACCCTGGCTATGCTGCTGGCTCTGCAGCATTTTAATGTGTATGTTGGGTCCACTTGTGTCCCAGTCACTGTCTTCACAGACCACAACCCCCTCGTGTTCCTGTCCCAGATGTTCAACCAGAATCAACGTCTGATGCGGTGGGCGCTGCTGGCTCAGGACTACAACATCAGCATCCAGCACAAGAGGGGGAAGGACAATGTTGTGGCTGATGCCCTATCGCGTGACTGAGGACACACATCACCACTTGGGTCGCAGGTGGTGATGGCACCCATATCCTTTTCAGCCTTTTCTGACTCCCTGTGTTTACGCTGTTGACAGATTTCGTCACTTTGCTGATTTATCCTTATTGTCTACATGTGTAGTGGCTAGTACAGCAGTGGCTATTTCTAAGTTATCCTACTTGAGTTCCATTATATTGGAAATGCCTGTTCCTACTTGGACTTCACAAATAGTCCCCGAGTGTGGGTACAGATTTGTTAGATGCAGGCATGTTATGTTTTCTGGCTGGGTGGGGGTTTATTTTTATGGGGGGAGGTGTTACGGACCAGGTCCTTGTTTTTGTTTCTCCTTGCCTCCGCCTCCTCAGACCTCCCTCCCACTGACGTCTCACTATGCACCTGTGGGCTAATCACCTGGGAGGCATAAAAAGAGCCTGGCTCCAGACCAGTCTCTCTCTTCCACTTGGGCCTGGATCCTGCGGCTGCACACCCGTGTGACCTTTTTGTGCATTTATTTATATGTAAATAAACCTTGTTACTTTTTAGACCCCGTTTCCTGTCTATGTTCCACCCCCCGGTTCTTTTTGTGTTACTGAGTCACACTCTCTAGACTTCAACACCTAGTGGCTCGTAATAGAGTCCCTTTGAGAAAAGATAAAGTGTAGGATCCTTAGTGAAACCATGGTATAAAAGTAAAAGCAATTAAAAGGGAAACGTGTAAAGGAGGCCTTTTGTCACAAAAGGTTTTGTAATTAACCAATTCCAGGCTTGATAAATGACAAAAGTAAAGAAGCAACAATATGTTACATTCAGTGATCACGGTTTAAATTATATACAGAAAAAGGGAGTGTTTGTTTTTTAGTTTGTTTTTTGGCGTGAATAGAGTTCACCGGAGAAGGCAGAGTTTTATCTAAAGTTGAGCTTTAGCTTTCGTGAGTTATTTACATTTTTCGCCGAGTTTTATCTAAAGTTGAGCTATGAGAGGGTTGTATCCAACAGTTGTTTTTGTTTTTTAGTTGGAGATTGAGTTTAAACTAGTTCGCTACCTCGATAAAATAGAAGCGTAAACGTTAAAGACAAGAGTGCCTTTAGTTACAAGTGTGGAAAGTGATCAATTCTAGACTTGGATGACAAAAGTATAAACTACAACATCAGTTATATTCGCTTAAAAAAGTAATCTTGAAAGTTCTTCTTCTTTCTGTTTTTGCATTTTTGCTAAAACACTACTTTCTGCCTGTGTGTGTGCGTGTCTGTGTGACAGGAACCCCCCCCGCCCTCGCTGCTGCTCTGATTTAAAGGAGAGCTACTGCGTTTAGGATTTTGGCTCTTCATAGTTGTTATTCCGTTAAATTTGCGAAATTTGCCATTGAACATTGTGTTATGACACAGTTAAACGTTTTAAACACCATTTAGTAAACAGAAGTTTTGAATATTATATGTTTTTTGAAACCCAAAGATTAGTACAAAAAAGCTTTGCTTTTCTTTTTAAATCTGCTGCTTATTTTTTGAGTCCATTATTGTATCTGATATATTTCATAGCTGTTTGTGAGAATTTTTTCATGTATTTTTATATTAGTTACAAAAGCCGTAGTTCAAAACATTTAAATTAGAATTTGTGTTAAAAGTGATTATTGATCATAGACTTCGTCTAAAAAGAAAGAGGAAATTAGGATTAGCTGTAAAAGTATTATATTATTGAGTTAAACTCTACCCAATTCACCCAATTCACATTGCAAGCAGTGACTTTTTTGTTTTGACTACACGCCTGACCTTGCTCCTGCTGCTGATGCCACAGCACAGAGACTGCTCCGAAATGTGCTCCAATTCATATTGACTTAATTTGAAAATGCTGTAATTATTTTAAATTAGTAGATAAATGTTCAAGTGTAAAAGGGAAAGTCCATAAAGTGACACCCAAGAACGCATAGATAATTAAACACACAGTACAAAAGTACATAGTACATATTTTAAAGTTTGAAGGTTTTTTGAGATTTGAGTCTTGTTTTTTATTAAGAGAGTTTCTGGTCTTAAAATGTCATCATTAGTAAGATAATAAGTAATCTTTATTTATATAGCGCATGTTGGAGCGCTATAGAGAGCTCCAAAATTGTTTAGACTTTAGAGAGAAAAACAATCTCATTCACATACTGATATCTGCTGTTTTTTAAATTGGCCGTCTCAAGGATTGTTTTTCAGACTCTGCCACACTGTACAAGGGTCA